GTTCGGCTTTGCCGTCCTCCCCCGCCGCACAAAGGGTGTTCGGCTTTGCCGTCCTTCCCCGCCGCACAAAGGGGGTCCGGCGTTCCGGGAACGCCAGACCCCCTTTGTGCTGTGGCCATCGAGGGGAGGGGACGGACCCACTTCTTCCCCCGCAGCTCAAAGGGGCTCCCCCTTGGTGTTGTTGCCATCGACGGGGAGGGAGAGGCCCCCTTACTCTCTCGCAGCACCGACATGGGTCCGGCGTTCCGGGAACGCCGGACCCCGCTCGGTGCTGCTAGAGGGAGGGGGAGGGAAGGACATGAAACGCCGCGGGGTTCCGTCGACGATGCGGGCCAGGGAGGGGTCTGGCCGACCACCGTGCCGACAGGCACGCTGGTGGGGTCTGCTATTTTGGGGACGCTGGACCTGCACACACAACGGTCGTGGGGTCCGGCATTGTAGGAACGCCGGACCCGCTGCGTGGGGCGGTAGCGAAACTCCCGTGCCGCGACAGATGCTTCTTCATGTCACTTAGTGTTGTTTTCTTGTTGTCTTTTTCTGTGCGACCCTTCAGGAAAACCAGCATCTGGCTCCGCCCCCAAAAAACGGTACGGCAGGTCTAAGCTTTACCACGACAAACCATGGGCTCTTGATTGGGTAGGTGGCCTTCATATGCCGGGTTGCGGAGCCGTTGTCTTTTTAAGCGATGACAATGGCCTGAGTTGGTACTGCTGCGGAGGGTTGGAGAAATCGGAAGCGGGGAGGTTTACCTACGACGGCAGGAAGTTCAGGACCTTCTTCCTTACATTTGTCTATGACAGAGAGGGGAAAAACTGGGTCAAGGAAGACAAGAGGGTGTCTCTTGACCATCGGCTCTTCGAAGGATATGGGGTCAAGGCTTTGTCGATGAAAGCGTTTGACGTGCGCGGGAACGGAATGGAGTTCCAAATGCTGGATCCGGAAAAGTTTCTCTCCAAAACCAATGGCTACCGCGTGACTGGTTCCCTGCCTGTCGTCGACAGCGCTTTCATGCTCAGCAGACCTTTGGTCCAATTCAACAGCCCGACGGACCAACTCGCAGCTTCCGTTATGCGATACAGGGAAGAGTTCGCGAGGCTGTCTTCTTCCCAGCAAGTTGACCGTGTTTTCGTGCCGATTGACGTCCCGTCTTCGTCGGCTGCGGGGCCCAAACCGCCCCAGGATCAGCCGGCCAGAGCGGGTGGAAAGAGGAAGCAATTGCCGACTGCCCCGTCTTTGTCGGCTGCGGTTGTCCAGGCTCTGCCCGCTCCGGTTCCGCCCTCGGACCGGCAAGGTCGCGATGCAGCCGAGCAGTCCAGCTAGGCCACAAACTACGACAACGGAGCTGTGCGCTATCGGGCTGGTCCCCAGCATCGTTCCCGGGGAGGTGTAGGTGCCTTCGATGACGAGGAATGCGAGGGCCAAGATGGGGAGGGCGGTGGTTGGGATGGGGAGGGCGGTGGTGAGGAGAGGGAGGGCGGTGGTGAGGAGGAGGAGGGCGGTGGTGAGGCGGACGACGGTAACGAAGGAGATGCTGAAGGTGAGGACGATGGCATGGAGGAGGAGAGAGACGATGTTGGTGAGGAAGTCGAAGACAATCGCTCCTCTTAATTTCACCGTCACCACCAGAACGAATCGCGGGGGCGCCGTGAGGACGACGTCTGCGGCGTCGGTGACGCGGTCGATGCTGGTGGCCAGCCTGCAGCCTCCCGCGGAATGTCGCAGTCCTATGACCAGACGAAGGATGACGAACCTGGCTCACGGGGAAAGCAAAAGAGTGGAGAGGCGTCGACCTCTCCTGCGAGTCGAACAAAACAGGCGAGGGCCGACGCCGTCAATGAAGCTCGCGGAGCGTTGACGGCATCACAGGAAGCGCGGGCTCCTCAGAAAACTGGTGGGGGGGGGCGAAGTAGCAGCCGCGGGGGCGGTCTCGGCGGCGGTAGGAAAGGCTCGCAGATGTCCAAGGCACCTAAGCTGCGGGACTCGGGGGATAAGGGAGAGGGGGTGGGGCCTCGCATGCCCGAAGACATTGAAGAGCTGGTTCAGCATGACGCGCCCGTGGACACGACACGATGTTTCTTCCTCGAATACGACGAACAGGGCTTCGCCAGGCAAGACGTCCAAGTTGTTGACGTCGACGTTAATAGGATCAAACCCATTCCCCGTGGGAAGATCCTTTTTAACCACCGTTCGTTGTCTAAGAACATTGTGAGAGGCATCGAGAGTGCCACAGAAAGCTCCATAAGTGCTGACTCGGGGATGTAGGATAGACCTGAGCTCGTTCTTGCGCCGGTTGACCCCAACGTCATCGTCGGGGAGCAGGGAAGGCGAATCACGCCGGACGAGTTCTTCCAAAGAGATTCTGCAGAGTTCCACTGGTACGCTGTCTGCGGTCAGCATACTGCCGAGGCCATGAAACGGTTGGTTGGAAAGGACTCCCCTCCGGTCAAAGTCTACGCCCTCCGCACATACTCTAAAGTGCGAGTCGTCTTTTTCGATGATGACCACACACGCGGGTACTTCATTGTCTCCCTCTTCGACAACACACGGGAGAATTGCGCCATGATGTTATCCTTCCAGGACGCTGTGCATGATATGCGGCAATGGTGGATCGACAACAACAGGATCGAGGCACCCAAAGCTAAGGTCAGCAAGAAGGATGCCGTCACCGTTGCGCATCAGAAAACGTGGCAGAATTTCCTGAGGGTCTGCATGGGGAAGGCGTGCGACAAGGCGTTCGTGAAACAGGCACTCGACAACGAATACAACAAGGATTGGAGTAACAAACTTCGGGGGTACCTGAACCTCGCCACGTCCACCCGCACGGTTTGGCCACTTGTGGAGAAGTTCTTCTCGATGTTCGAGGAGGTTAAGCTGCCAATCGGCGACGGCAAGGTCCCACTTGAGATGCCGGGGAGGATGGAGGGGCGCCTGCCCGGCCGGTACACTGACGAGAACAAGGGACAACGGACTTTGTACCACTGCATATATGCGAGAAATGGTCCCAAATGCTCCCCTGTGTACAGGAAGAATTTGTGTCCTACGTACTTCAAGAACTTCGGGGACATGCTATGCCGCGAGAGAGAAGTTGCGCTACTCCTGCTCATGTCGGGGAAAGTGGTGGCAACAAAAAAGAGAGTCACGCCTCCGAGGGTGAACACAGAGTGCCTCCTCGACATTATGCGCAAGGAGAGATACATGGTCYRCATGTTCAACTACGTYGTGTTTCGCGCCGAGGGAARGGCAGRGGACGAATGGAACGACGACTTCTTCATGYCGTACAAGGACCTGGAAGAGAGGTATGCTTTAAACGGGTTATGCGTTGATGAATGGGAGAAGCAACGGGAGAAGCTGCATAGCAACTTAGTGAAGACGATCCCTCGGCGACTTGGAGGAGTGGAGGAGCCGAGGCAAGGTGCGGGCTTGGGGCCTACAGAAGTGATGTACAAGGAGGCTCCGTTTCACTTCAAGTTCTTTGTATACACAACGATCGATAAGCTCGATATGCTTTGAGCGGAGGTAAAACGGATCGCCTCCAGTGCACGTCATCTTGAGTGGGACAAACACGGCAGGCAGACCACATTGCTTCCTGTATGCATGTGGTCAAAGGAGGTTATGGCGGCGCCCGTCGACATCGTCGCAGCCGCACAAAAAATGGYATGCAGGGCCGCCATCGTKGAYATCTCGRCCRCGAATTTCAGCAGTGCATGGACCTCGCAGGACTTCGATGCAGTGTAAGCAACGATGGCGAAGTGTTGTGGTCCAAATTGGGTCCTCTTCTTCTTTGCACCGCAAAATGTGCAAAGCGATGTCTTGCATCAATTGTACCGTTGGGAGGACATCGAGCTCATCCCCGGGTCATTGAAACGCGTGGACAGGCCGCCGAGCGACGTCACAAGGTACGACAACATCGCTACTAGCAGTCACGACCTGATGGCGATCGTGCTGCACGCTGAAGGAGGGGATCTGAAAAAAGTAACTGCCCTAGCCCGACTTCCGAACGATCTCACCGAAGTGCATGTTGTGGAGGAAAASTTCGRGAARKGKWTYSGAAAAMMMCGKKG